CAGAGTGGGGGGACCTGCCAGGCTTGGGCACCCCCCGCGCTCCCCCGTGCCACCAGCTTGGGATGAATTCATGGAAGTGCCGCCGGCAGCATCCGCCCCCGGGACAATGGGAATGTGGGAAGCGCCGGAGCGGCACGGCCCCCCCAGCGACCCCCCGGTGCGGCGGTGCCGGGACCCCCCGCCCGGCGCTGGGACGGCTCAGGGGGCCCCATCCCGGCGGGACCCTCCCCCCCCTCCACCGGGCATTCCCAGCGGCTCTGCCCCTCTTTGTTCCCGCGTGGCTCCGGTTCGGGGCGCACGCGGGACGGGGCCGGGCACGGCTCGGGCAGCACGCGCGGAGCAGGGCGCGTCACGCATGTCGCGGCATGTCGCGACAGGCTGCGGCGCCACATGGCGGGACAGAGCGCGGCACGCGGCCGGGCGGGCTCCCGGGAGGAGCCGGCGCTGGAGCGGGTCCAGCCGCGCTGCGGGGGCAGAGGGCAATGCCCGGGCTGCCGGTGGCCGCGGTCCCGTGACGCCGGGGGGCTGCGAGGCCGAGGAGCCCCGGTGCCGTCGCTCCCCACCCCGGGATGGGTGTTTTGGGGGACACCGGCTCCGGCCCCGCGGCACCGGCACCGAACCGGGGCCAGTCCGGGACCCCCAGCCCGGAACCCGCGACCCCCGGTGCAGGCGGCAGACCCCCCCTTTCCGCACCCCGGGGTGCTCCCCGCTCCCGCAGCGCCCCCGGGCCCGTCCTGCCCCCGCCCCGGGCGGCGGCGCCGCTCCCAGCCCGCCGGCACCGGGAGGGACCGGGCGGGACGGGGCGAGACCGGCTGGGACTCCCGGTTCCCAGTTCGGCGGAACGGGCTCAGTCCTGGGACCCCCCCGCAGACCGGCACTCCCCGGCCGAGACCCCGGTGCCCCTCGGAACCCCCTTCGCGGTGCCGGTAACGGTGCCTCTCGGCCCGCCCCCGACGCCCTGGCCCGTGCCGGTGCCCATTCCTGCTCCCGTTCCCGGTCCTGTGTCCGGTGCCTGTCCCAGTGCCCGTTCCCGGTCCCCCCTTCCGTTCCCGTCTCCGTTCCCGGTTCCCTGTGCCGGCTCCTCGTTCCCGGTGCCCTGTTCCCTGTCCTCCCTTCCGTCCCCGTTCCCGGTGCGGGGGCGGGAGCGGCCGGGAGGCACCGGCACGGGACGGGCGGCGCGGGGAGCGCTGGGACGCGGGCACCGGGCCTGGGTCCCGCAGCGGGACGGGGCCGGCACCGGGATGGGGGTCCTGTACCGGGATCAGGATCCTGTTCTGGGATGGGGGTCCCTGTACCCCCATTCCTGCTCCCGTTCCCGGTCCTGTGTCCGGTGCCTGTCCCAGTGCCCGTTCCCGGTCCCCCCTTCCGTTCCCGTCTCCGTTCCCGGTTCCCTGTGCCGGCTCCTCGTTCCCGGTGCCCTGTTCCCTGTCCTCCCTTCCGTCCCCGTTCCCGGTCTCCATTCCCGGTTCCCGTCCCTCTCCCGGTGTCCCCCTCCCTCCCATTCTCACCAGTCGGTCCCGGCCCGAGGGTTCCCCACGTCCTCCCGCGCCGCCAGCAGCGCCAGCCGGTACCGCTCCAGCCCCGGCCCCGCCATCCCATCTGGGATGGGGGTCCCTGTACCGGGATGGGGGTCCCTGTATGAGGGTCCCATACCGGGATGAGGATCCTCTACTGGGATGGGGGTCGCTGTGCTGGGATCAGGATCCTGTACTGGGATGGGGGTCCCTGTACTGGGATGGGGGTCCCTGTATGAGGGTCCCATACCGGGATGAGGATCCTGTACTGGGATGGGGGTCTCTGTGCTGGGATCAGGATCCTGTACCAAGATGGGGGTCCCTGTACTGGCATGAGGGTCCCATACTAGGATGGGGGTCCCTGTACTGGGATGGGGGTCCCTGTTTCAGGATGAGGGTACTGCACCAGGATGAGGATCCCTGTACAGGGGTCCCTGTACTGAAATGAGGGTCCTGTACTGGGATGAGGGTCCCTGTACCGGGATGGGGGTCCCATACTGGGATGAGGGTCCTGTACTGGGATGAGGCTCCCTGTACCAGGATGGGGGTCCCTGTACTGGGATGAGGATCCTGTACTGGGATGGGGGTCCCTTTTTCAGGATGAGGGTACTGCACCAGGATGAGGGTCCCTGTACGAGGGTCCCTGAACAGGGATGAGGGTCCTGTACTGGGATGAGGCTCCCTGTACCAGGATGGGGGTCCCTGTACTGGGATGAGAGTCCTGTACTGGGATGAGGGTCCCTGTACAAGGATGGGGGTCCCATACTGGACTGAGGGTCCCATACTGGGACGAGGGTGCTGTGCCACATTCCCATTTCTGGCCACGGGTGCCGGTTCCAGGTCCCGCTCTGGAATGCGAGCGGAGGTCCCAGGATCCTCAGCAGGACACGGATGTCACAGCAGGATGTGGGGCAGATCCCAGGGGCCCGGGCTGGGCCGTGTGCCCGGCTCCAGCGCTGGAATGTGGCTGCGGTGCCAGGATCCCACCCCAGCACGAGGGTCCCCAGACTGTCCCCCATCCCTGGAGTCTCTCCCCCATTCCCTTTTTACACCAGGAAATGGGATTTTGGGATCTGGGGGAGTCACCGGGTCCCCCTGGACCATGAACGGGGGGGTTTTGGGGACATTCCCAGCCCAGTGTCTGGCCCGGCCGTCCCCACACGGCTCCGGTCCCAAAGCCTCTCCCATCGTTCCCTTATTTGGGCACCGCGGCTGGAAAATCCCAAATCCCCGGGGAGGAGAAAAATGCTGGAAAATGGGATCTTGGGCCCAGGGATCCACCCAGCCCAGAGTGCAGCGAGCCTGTCACCCCTGCCCCAGGGGCACTGCTGCCACTGCTGTCACTGCTGTCACTGCTGTGAGTGGCATTACTGCTGTCACTGCTGTCACTGCTGTCACTGCTGTCGCTGCTGTCACTGGTGTTGCTTTTTACTGGTGTCACCCTTACTGGTGTCACTGGTTTTACTGGTTTCGCTGGTTGTGCTGGTACCACTGCTGTCACTGCTGTCACTGCTGTCACTGACGTCACTGCTGTCACTGCTGTCACTGCTGTCACTGCTGTCGCTGCTGTCACTGCTGTCAGTGACGTCACTGCTGTCACTGATGTCGCTGCTGTCAGTGACGTCACTGCTGTCACTGATGTCACTGCTGTCAGTGACGTCACTGCTGTCACTGCTGTCACTGCTGTCAGTGACATCACTGCTTTGCTGGTGTGACCGGTAGTGCTGGTTTTACTGGTGTCACTGGTTTAACTGGTGCCACTGGAGTTACTGCTGTCACCGGTTTCACTGGTGTGTGCCGCTGCTGTCGCTGCTGTCGCTGGTGTCACTGATGTCACTGCTGTCACTGCTGTCGCTGCTGTCGCTGCTGTCGCTGCTGTCGCTGCTGTCGCTGCTGTCGCTGCTGTCGCTGCTGTCGCTGCTGTCGCTGCTGTCGCTGCTGTCGCTGCTGTCGCTGCTGTCGCTGCTGTCGCTGCTGTCGCTGCTGTCGCTGCTGTCGCTGCTGTCGCTGCTGTCGCTGCTGTCGCTGCTGTCGCTGCTGTCGCTGCTGTCGCTGCTGTCGCTGCTGTCGCTGCTGTCGCTGCTGTCGCTGCTGTCGCTGCTGTCGCTGCTGTCGCTGCTGTCGCTGCTGTCGCTGCTGTCGCTGCTGTCGCTGCTGTCGCTGCTGTCGCTGCTGTCGCTGCTGTCGCTGCTGTCGCTGCTGTCGCTGCTGTCGCTGCTGTCGCTGCTGTCGCTGCTGTCGCTGCTGTCGCTGCTGTCGCTGCTGTCGCTGCTGTCGCTGCTGTCGCTGCTGTCGCTGCTGTCGCGACATCGCCACCCCGCCCAATGTGGGCGTGGCCTCCCACAGGGCGTGCCGTGTGACCCCGCCCAGTGGGCGTGGCCTTCGCCCGCCGGCGTGGGCGTGGCCCTGAGGGGGCGTGGCCGTCACGTGGCGGCGCGGCGCCCCCTCGCGGTGCTCCTTTGTCCGCGCGCGGGGCGGGGCGCCGGGGGGGGCGTGGCCGGGGCGGGCGGTGCCGCGCGGGATTGGCGGGGGGGGGGGGGGCCGGGCGGGGGGGGGGCGCTGAGCGGGGCCGCTCCGCTGCCCGGGGCCCCCCGCGCCCCCATGGACCCCGACGTGGACTACGAGCGCCCCAACGTCGAGACCATCAAGTGCGTGGTGGTGGGCGACAACGCCGTGGGCAAGACGAGGCTGATCTGCGCCCGCGCCTGCAACGCCACGCTGAGCCAGTACCGGCTGCTGGCCACACACGTGCCCACCGTGTGGGCCATCGACCAGTACCGCGTCTGCCAGGAGGTGAGGGCCGCGGGCACCGCCGGGCACCGAGCGGGGGAGAGGCGGGAGGGGCGTTACCGGGGACACCGGGCATCGCCGGGCACCGGGGCGGGGAGGGGGAGCAACAGGGGGTATCGAGCAGCCGGGAGCGGCCGGTACCGCACGGGACACCGAGGGAGGAAGCGGGAGGGGGTAGCGGGGGCACACCGGGGTGGTCCCGGTGGTTCCGGGCAGGGCGGTCGGTGATGGTGCCGTTCCCGGTGCCGTTCGCGGTGGCGGCAGGTGCTGGAACGCTCCCGGGATGTGGTGGACGAGGTCAGCGTCTCCCTGCGCCTCTGGGACACCTTTGGGGACCACCATAAAGACCGGCGCTTCGCCTACGGCAGGTGGGACCGCGACCCGCCACCGGAACCCCACCCCCTACCACCAGCACCTCCGGCACCCCCGAGACCCCCACCGCCACCCCAGCTCCTGCCACCGGCAGCCCAGCCCCCACCCCCAGCTCAAGCCCTGCCCATCCCGGGATGCACGGAGCCAAAGGAGCCCCTTGGGCTCCCGCCAGCGCCCGGGGAGCCGCTCTGGCACCCCAAACCCTCGGGGAGGGGCCGGACTGCCCCCATCCCCCTCCGGGGACACCTCTGGGGGCACCGCGACCCCAACACTGCACCCCCCGCAGCCCCCGCCCCGAGCAGGGACCCGGCTGCCCACGGCCCCTCCGGAGCTGTGGGTGGGGGGCGGCTCCAGGGGGGCTCTTGTGGGGGGGGAATGCTTGCGGGGGGCGCTGGGCTGACCGCAAGAGGGGCCCCCCCAGAGCTCCCGTGGCCCCCCGGTTGTAAACAGCCGGTCCCCGTGGCCGCTGGCACGTCCGGGCTCTTATCGCCGCCGCCCCGCGCCAGCCCCGCGGCACCGCTAATCTCCCCGCGGCACGGCGGGGCCCGCGGGTGGGGAGCCCCCCGGGGCTGGGGGGGCTGGGGGGGCCGTGTCCCCGTGGCTCCCCCCGGGCCCCGGGGGGGGCGGGGGG